TTTTGCACATTGCCTGTTGTTGTTTTTTTTGCACATCGTCTGTTGTTGTTTTTTGCACACTGCCTGTTGTCTGTCTTTCTTTGCTACACAATTGTATTGTTGTTGTTGTTGTTGTTGTTGTTGTTTTTGTTGTTTTTCTTTTTGTACTACTTATGTCCAAGAGCTAGCTAGATAGCATTTCGTTATACCATATACCATGTATATGAGTGTAATGACAATAAACTTGAACTTGAACTTGAAAAGAAAATTACAATCTTGTTTCCTCAGTAGCTGGAGGAAAGTAATGATGTAAAACTATATTCCCTCTACTTCCCTGGATAAAACCCACCACCTACACACTAAGAAAACTATCATGGATTTATGTGAGAGATGGTAGGACTTACCCTTGAATTGACATACTGATGCAGTAACATCCTAAGCTCTGCATTCTGCTGTTTCAAACCATCTGTTTCATCAATCAGCTTAGCCCTCTCAGTTAGAACATTGCTATAACAATACAAAATGTATGTCAATACAAGCATGTCACACAAAAAAAGGAAAAATATCAAATGAACTTAACAAAAGAGACAACAGAATGTTTTATTCAATTACCTGCAAACTATAGATAGCAGAAAAAATAACCATTACATAAACAATGAAAAAACAAAGTACACTGAATAACAGTCTTTTTTCTGCATTACAACCTACAATTACAAAAGAAAATTAAATTAATAAGACTGGAAAAATACCTACTAGTATTTTTCCAAAGCAGTCTCCAAGGCATCCCAGATTTTTAGCTTGGATTCAGGGATAACGTTAGCCATGGATTCCCAATATGCACGGTCTTCAGAGTCATCTCTTTCCTCAAGGTTTAGTACATTAGACTGCAGGTACTTCTCCCTTGAAATTGGGCAAAACAGTAAAACATTAATTTTCATGAGATCAGGTGACCTTTAGGCTGGTGTGAAGTTAGAACATTGGATGCCTGCCCCTCTTCCTCACTTTTATTATTCCTCTAATCTTTCTTTCTATTGTGGATTGGCAGTCCCTCTGAGCTGGCAGAGACAAGGAATAAGGTTCATTCTTTGACCTCTATTTACCCAGCTAAGACCAAGCTGAAAGAATCAGATTCTCCTGGACTGGGTAAAACAGAATGTGACAGTATTAAATTCTCCACTCTGTATATAGTGTGACAGATATGGAGGGAGCTTATTTCTGACAAACTTTAAATTCTTGATCTACTTTTTTATTTTGTGAGTATTGTTTGGTTTAATTCTGAAACTCTTGTATCTTAGCACCCACTTGAAAGTCTAGTTTGTCAATATAGTTTTCAAGTTTCATTTACACTTTGACACTGTGGTTGTGTTTTGGATCTGTAATTATATATATAATTACCAGTTAATTAATAGTTACAGAAAATATAACGTCCTTTATCCTATTTTCTATCATGATAAAACCCTTAGGTTCTCTTTTCTCTTCCCTCATTGGAGGAATAAATTGATTCACAAACCACCAGAGTTTTCTCTGTTCCTCCTAGGCTTTGCAATCTCATTAGGGGCTTCTCAGGTTCAGAGGCTTTTTTAACGTAATTTTTTAACGTATAGCACATACTGTATATCACCATTTTGCAGTGCATACTTATGTCATTCTCTGGGGGAGAGATTTGCCTTGTATATTTTAGGCAAACCTAACCGTCTGGTATTTTACCCAGTATATAATCTACTGCAGGGATAGTCTGCCTTAGTTTGTTTTGTGTTAAGCAGAATGTATGAGCCTTCATATAAACTTTTAACTTCTTTTACTATAAGAAACAGAATTTTGAATGTTACAGTTAGTTTTGAATAGATACAGTTCCTAAAGTACTATTTAAGACAACATACAAATCTTAATTGGAATGCAATGATCCACCTGCATTTTATTCACACGTGAGCCCTAACAAACTCTATTGTATGAGTCTTGTTCATTTTGTCCTGTGTGGTTAAGGGACAGTCTGGTTAAGGGACATCATGGGTACCATTTTGCATATGTTACAGGTATTCAAATGTTGGTAAATTTTAGAAACAGGTTTTTTCTTCATGGTGCACTGTTCTTTTAAAAAAGAAATTTAGAGTCAGCATATCATATTATAGTCTGATTATTTTGGAATAAACAATGACTCATTTTTCTCATCTCAGCCCACAACAACTAACAGCTCAACCCTCACGCAGGACAGAATTAGGAAGTGTAGGCAGACTCCTCCAGCTCACGCACGTTTGTCTTTTTACACATCACACACACCACAGCCCTAGGTGGAGGACAGGAAAGACCCTCAACAACAGCACTCCAAATCTGCAAGTATCAAGGAGACCCCAGGGATCACTGTAAACTGAGAGAGTCCTGGCTGACTAAGCCCACCCTGCCCTCTGCTTGGGAAATTCCATTTACAGTAGGCTAGGCTAACTCCACATTTATATATGGGTGGAGCAGTGGCTAAGGATCTGTGCTTGTGGCTGGAAGAGGAATTCTACTCCACTGGACTTCTGATCAAGGCCCTTAACCCCAGCTGCTCCAGGGTTGCTGTACATTAGCTGACCTGGTGCTCTGACCCCAAGCTTCTCTCCCTCTCTGTGTGTCTCATAGAGAGCAAGCTGGGGTATGCAAATAGACTAATTCCTAATGCAAGAAATTGTATATGGCTAATAAAGTGAACATTTCTTATATGGAGCTCTCTATGGCATGGACCCTTAGTGCCCTGGATAGTACAGTGGGGTTTTGGAGGGCTGCTGCTGACTCAGTCAAATCCTTATTGCACAGTACTTATATCACAGCTGTCTGATCATATTCTAGTGATTCTTTGGAACGAAAATCAGAGGGGGATATCTTTAATGGTAGTGGAAGAGTGCCCAACTGTAATCTTAGACACTAAAAAACAGAATTGATGTGTCCGTAGTCTTAAATATATTATTAATACAAAAATGAGAATTTCAAGTGGGGAGCTGCGTCAGTGAGCAAAGGAACAAGTAAAGGTTAATTAAATGCTGAAAAAAACGGAAGGCTTACCAGCCAGAACATTGTGTATCTCCTTTATAATTTTCAGTGTTTAATTAATTCATTTGTCCTAAAATACGAATGACAGATGTTTCCAAAATGACAAATTAAACTATGATCAGTGCTATCATCAAACCCAGACAATGAAAAGCAAAAAGAAGTGAAAAAAGTATGCTACCCAGATAAAAACAAATGTGAATTGTACTAAGAGATTTAAAAATTTACAAATTCCAAATTGCTGTGTCCAAAATTCTGGTATGTCCATACTATGATGTCTGATGTAGAAAGACCTCTTTAAGCAGAGATTATTCATTAAATATTTCAAAAATATAATTTTTGTTCATAATTATATTTAACTTTTTAATAGTTTGACTCATAAACACCAGCTTTGTCAACTTGAAAGAAAGAATAAACTGTTTATGTTGAATTTGTTTATCAAATACTGTTAAAGCAGAATAACATGAACATGTTTCACTCTGCCAGTCACTTCCTTCACCCTCTGGTAGATCTGCAATAGAGAGGATCTGTCCTTTGACAAACTGAACCCAGAAGATTTTGCATCACGATTTTTACATTATTACCTGACCAATCATCTTCTCAGATTTGATCAGGTGACTGAGGGCGGCACGTCATTCCCCACAGTATTAAGGACAGGGATCTCCATCTTGTCTGAACCTATAGTTTTCTATACTGGGTTATGAAAACATAGAAAGCAGCTTCTACTCTATGCATTGAGTTTCCTTTGATTTATCAATGTTTACTGTATACGTTCCTGCTCACCTTGGTCTGCAGTACTCTGTGGTAAAGGCTTGCAGTGCCTTCAGGACGTCATTGGGATGAATTGGATCTAATGAAGAGCTATGTGGCACTGAAGAAGAATCTTCTCTCTCCAGTACTCTGCTCCTTCTCTGTTCCTGGGACATCTCCCCTGAGGAACACTAAAGACAGTTTACGGTAGCTATAAAATAATTTAAAAGGCTTTTCAAACACAAGGTTTTTCAGAAAATTTCAGAAAAGTGTTTAAAGAATTTCTTTTGGATCAGAGCTCATTGAAAGATAAACATAAATATGCCCAGGTCATCTAGATTTTCAGTTTGTACCTACAGGCAATTTAAAAATTGTAAAAAGGTGCAATAAAATATTTCACTCAAAACTGTACTCATAATACACCCTACATCTTCATCTTCATCTTCCTTCTGTTGTTGCTTGTACGTCATGAAGAAATCAGCTAGCTTGTACACATCTTCTTCATTCTCAATTCCCAGAGCCTAGGAAAATAAAGTTAATCTAGAATTAATTTTGGTTATCATGAATGATCTATAATAACTATTTACAGTCTTGGAGTGTACTGACATTTTGTTAAATTCAATATTTTACAGGAAATGTTAAAAAACCTTTTTTAGTAAATTAAAAACAGTTTTTAGCTAATAAATTAACAATTAAATAATGATTCTAATGAAAAGAAAAGCTTGATAATCCATCTAATAATGTTTAATACTATTAGGTAGATTAATATTATTCTGCAACACATTTAGTGGAAGAAATATCAAAGTTTGAAAGTGTATTGGGTTGTGGGAGGACAGTGCTTACCAGGAATATGGCATCCAGTTTCATGAGGGACTGTTCATCTTTCTCCAAGGGAGAAAGTAATTTGAGTAATTTGCTTTCAATCAAGAAACCCTATAATGAGAGAAATCCCATGATATATCAGAAGATTATTAATTTTGTAGAAATAACACATAGTGAATAATAGTTTTCAGTAAACCAGTGTTTTCAATGTTTACAATGTGGATGGGAAATAATATAATCTACAGTAGCTCTCTCTTATGATTCAAATTGTAGAACAGGCCATATAAATGGAGTCATAGTATGTTGATAAAAAAATATAGTGTTTGAAAAGATCAGTTATACAAAAAAACAGATTTCAGTGCTCCATATTCATAAACATTCTGTTTCACTGGTTGTTGAAGATGCCACAGTTGGCAATGTTAACAGGAGTAAAACATTAAGGAACGTGTTTTCCTTAACATAAATACGAAGCCTTCATCAATGGCAAAAAAGCAAGGAAGAAAGGAAGAAGGCATGCATCCAACTGACCAACCATGGCACTGTGGATATTTCGATTTTTTGTGACATCATGAAGCGTGAGTTTATTTTAAAGAATCTTGGAGAGTGACTGAGTTTTTGAAAAAGTAGTTTTGGGAAATGTCTTATAGGAATTTTTGGAGAAAGTCTCAGAAAGAGACTTATTTGGAAGCAGGCAAGCAGCTTAGCTTCTCAGATACTTATGGGCAGATATCAGAAAAACGTATTTTCTGTCACGGTGTTAATAAAGAGAACTTATTTTTACCTTACAACTATGTTTATTTTCCACAAAATATTATTAAATAATTAAATAAAAATCAATAATAAGTTGCTGTCAGTGAAGCATAATCAAAGGCAAAACACTCCAAATGAATCAGCAACACAGGACTCATGAATAAAGTGATTGTATGTCCTACCGTCTCATCACACAGGATCTCCAGCAGTCTCTTGACTGTTTTTGCAGAGATTTTCATGTGATCCTCAGCAGTGCTCACTGGATGTTCAGTGTCTGTTACATCCTGATCCTGGATAGGGAGAACACTGCTTGGTGAGACTGCTGCTGTTGGCTCTGCCTCCTCTTTCTCTTCCCTGCTGGTTTGGCTACCTGCAGAGGTTTTTGAAATTGCAATAATTAAAAATAGAAAATCAGTCAGTCTTATCACATTAACACACAAAACAAGTGTCCTTGTTCAAATCCACTACTGATCCAAAAGAGAAGAAACTGGATTGTGTATTTTTTTTACTGTTTCAATGTTGATAGACCTCAATACAAAAGCACAAGAGATGTTACCTCCTGATCTCAGCAGCTCTCCAGCCAGCTGCCCGGCAGATTTCTTCAGCTTTCTTTGTGGGATGATGGGTCCCAAGTGCTCCATGAAGGGCAGAGGAGGCCGCACCCAGGCCACACCCAGCTGCTGCTCGTGAATGAGGCGGTCCGTCTGCAAGGCCTTCTCTACCAGCTCTTTCACCTCCGCCTCATTCATCAGCCAGATATCCTCGAATGTCTTTGCATCGATAGCAGCAAAGTGTCTGCACAAACACAAAGGAAAATTAGATGGAAAAAAAAATAGATGACCCGTTAAAATTTTACATTACGTCTGCTACCATTAAGTGTGTCTGAAAAAGTGCATTTTTACCTCTGTGCCGAAATGTGCAGCAATTCACAGCTCAGGTAATTTAGATGCTGTGTTTACTCAAACTCCCAAATTATTTTCAATCATACTATTGTTAAACAGAGATGCAGGCATTTTTACCGTGTTCATGTTGATAAGATTGTGTTTTGTCCTAGTTTATGTAGTCAGCATATCTGACTGTTAATCATGATTCAGTTGATTTGTTTATTAATGTCCTATCATAACGAAACTACAATCATAAGAAACAGATATTCGATCTGAAGGAGTGTAAGTGCAAATCAGCTGCTGCAAACAAGCAAACTTAACAGATGAATATAACTTGCAAACTCTACACCACAAAAAAACACAAACCCCAGAGTGCACACTTAAATTGACTTATGATAGTAAGAGAAAACAATCATCCAATGAGCTTAATGATGGTGATAGTTTATTAAAAGTGGTCATCAATATTCATGTGGCTCTTCTTTCGTAACGAGAAAGGAAAGGTATTTTACAAAATTGTTAAGTATAATAATAATATAATAAACTTCATTTTATATAGCACCTTTAAAGGTGGCTTCTCAAAGCACTTTACAGAATGAGAACAACAATAAATCAAAAGAATACACAAGATAAAACACAATTACAATATACAGAGGAGACCGTGGATGGTGTTACTAGGAAAAGCAGAGGGGTGAAGAATGGAACCAGTTAAGTAAAGGCTCTTCTAAAGAAGAAGGTTTTGAATCTCTGATATCCTTGGACAGAGTTCCAGAGCTTGGGGGCATAACAGGAGAAGGCCCTGTCTCCTGAGAAGGCATGAGGATTTTAAAGTCCACACGGAATTTGACAGGAAGCCAGTGCAAGGACTCCAGGATACAAGTAATGTGACCACTTGCACTAGACCTGGTCAGAATCCTGGCTGCTGAATTTTGGACATACTGCAGTTTGTTCAAAGTAGATTTAGAAACCCCAGCGAACATTACAGTAGTCAATTCGAGAGAACACAAATGTGTTGATCACCTTTTCAGCTAAAGTTAGTGATAGCACAGGGCATAGTCTAGCAATATTTCTGAGGTGAAAAAAAGATGTTTTGACAATATGCTGCACATACAGTATATATTGAGAATGGATTGCATGGAGGACATCATGTGATAGGAAGATTCCTAAAGCCAGGACAATCTGTCCCCACAGAGCTTCTAGTTGAATAATAACACACAAAATCTTTGTAGTATACTGTGCTGTAAATTCTGCGAAGAAGAAAATGTATTTTGGTGCCCTATATTCATGGACATTCTGTTTCACAGCATGTTGAAGACACTCTAAATAACTTTATTAGCAGTACCATGTGTTTTATAACATCAGTATGAAGACTTTAATGGTGAGAGATGCTTTACTATTTTTTACCATTAAAGAAGGCATTGGGTGTGGCAGAGAAATGGCTTGTCAATGTACAGTAATTACATTTTAATTACAGCACTCCCGATATTTTTGAAAAGTTGGCAGCAATTTGGATTCAAGAAAATCCCACAATACTCACCTTATTTTCTTTTGCATTTCCTTGTACTGCTGCATAATTCTTTTATAGTCATCAGTGAGGGAGTGATTTTCCTCACGACTTTGTTTCTCCTGTTTGGCACATTTTATCCTGAGGTTGTTCAAAACATCCTGCAGTCTCAATAGGATGAAAAACAAATAAAGAGTAAAAAAAAAAAATGTACTCCCCATTTGAAAGGTTTCAGGTGATCCCCAATTAAATGAGCATTACTAAAAAGGTAAATCACAAAACATAAGGGAGCACATCTATATGTCCATTTAGTTCTAAAATGTTTAACTAGATTTTTACCATTCAAACTACAGTATATACACAATGAGTGTATGAAACTTTAATATCTCCCGTGTTTTCCTTAACATTCTAACATAGCAAATAATATTGGAATACAGCTCCTTCTCCAGTTAAAAATATTTGGATGTAATTAATACCCCTGCTTTGTACTGTACAGTATTGTAACAGAGGTAATGTTTATTATTGGGGGGTTATTACAATATGGAGTATTTGGGTACCTAGTGATTTTCCTCTTCTGCTGCGACTTGGTGATTGTGTTCTCCTCATCTCTCTTTTTCAGCACCTGGAAGTTGTACTCCAGTTTCTCCTGGTTCAGCTGATAGGTGGCTTTCATCTGTTGCAACTGCTGCTCCAGGATCTAAGAGCCAATAAGAAATTCACAAGTCATGAAATATGATGATTGACTTTAGAGACCCAAGTCCTTACAGAAAAAAGGAAAATGCAGCTTAAAATTAACAAGCCATAAGTACAGTATTCTCTCAGCGATTTTCTGTTTGTTCACAACATTTGGTAAAATGGAATTGTCCTTCTTCACTTTTTTTAATGAAAACACCACAAATTTAGGTAAATGTTTCATTGTATCTCATGATACATATATTTCTTTGTTCAAATTAAAATTTTGGTAGGAAAGCTTCCTTCTTAGGTTATAGTGAGCTTACTTCTAATGTACATAATTCAACTCTTGCCTACTGAAATGACCATTCCTCTGTCTGTAGAGGTTTACTGATACTTTCCAAAGGAATGCAATTAGACAAATGTTATAACAAATGTTCTTACCTTTGTTAATAGCATTACAATTATCACAACTGAACAAGTGATAACTGTGATAATATTTACATTTGTAAATAGTATTACAATTGTACTATTTAATATTTACAAATTTGTTCAAGGTCAAGAAATGTGATGCTTTGTAAAAATGCTTAAATACATTTCTCTTGAGATTTAACCAAATTTGGAATAGCCAGGTGTTATACAATAGAACCAGCGTTATTTAACTTATGGCCTGATCTTGTTAGATCTCAGAAGCTAAACAAGGCTGGGCCTGGCCAACTGGGAAGGGACACCGCTAAATAAAAACAGGCCGCTGCTGTCAATGGTGTAGGTGGTACTCTTCCTGTTGGACCTACGTCCCAGTAATTACAGTAATTTTTCACTTGAATTCAGCTTTCTTTCTTTCTTTCTTTTATTGCCACACAACAATAGTTGGTGGAATCTGCTTTCAGTACAGAAAAGAACACAGATGAGATATACATTCAACATATACAGTACAAATCTTAATAGGACAGAAGACAAACAAACATCATCACATACATATGTAAACAACTTGCCATGTAGCAGCATAATTATACAATGAAATTGAGAGTTCAATGTGAATTCAAAATTCAGTGGGAAAGAAACTGAGTTCGGGGCGGGCAGTCCTTGAGAGGAAGGATTTGAAACGTTTTCCAGAAGGGAGAAATTGAAAGAGATTATAAAATGGATGAGAGGGATCTGAAATGAATTTCTTGGCAAGATTGGAGGTGAGTAGACAGATGAAATGGAAGGGAGATCACAGCCAACAATTTTTGCAGCTTTGGTCTCGATCCTTTCCAGTTTTCTGCTCATAAAGGTCAATACAGAGCAATAATTGTGTTCTCTGACACAGTTTCTCCCGGAAACACTTAACCAGCACTCCTCAACTCCTTTAATGAATCTGAATATCACACCTGAACGTCTGTCTCAAGCTTGATCTTGATCATGTTGTACTCCTCAGCATCCTCCACTCTCAGCTGCTGCAGCTGCTTCTCGTGCTCTTCCACTCGCTTCATCCTCAGGATGAGGTACTCCAGCTGCAGGGACCCACAACCCACAGCCTTACACACACCTGCCATGTGTACAGTTCTATTTGCCTCATTACATTTATGATACGTAATTACACCCGTCATCATATCCCTGATTTCAAAGTCAACTCTAGAGTAAACCTCTAGATTCTCTTAGGTTACATACTGTACATTTTTGAACCACAATATGTTAGTTATGTATGGGCACTAAGATTACACATAACGGCTTGCCTTTCACATACTGTAAATATTAGTTTGAGGTTTTTATGTACTTTTATGAAGTGGCATATATAAAAGTGTTTATTTTTCTTATAATATATTGTGTTTATGTGACCTCTCTTAAAATATCACTGGATCGCTGATTAATGCGGGATTTCCAGTAAGGTGAAGTAAGATACGAAGAGGAATGCCTGAAGGTTATCTTAGATTGTATCCTGGACCAATATCCTCACAATGATCAGCTCTGTTCAGATCCTTAAAGGTCCAATTAGAGCTCTTAAATTCATATTAATTAATTAACCAAATGTAAAGGTGCCACAGATAATAGCAAATAATGGCATTTACCTCCTTGTCCCGACGACTCTGCATCATCTGTTCCCATTTTTTGCGGTTGTTGTCTAGAAGTTCCCGACGTTCTAGTTCAAAGGCTTTCTGCACAAATACACAGCACTTGTGAAAGACGCATAGGGGTTTTCATGACTCATTCTTGAAATCCTTGAAGCATTTACCATGCTGTCCATATTTCATGAAATACTTAAAAGATGTGTGAAGGGATAAAGCTAACAAGGTTGTCCAGTTCAAAATAGAAAGTAGTAAATAAAACTTCTGCCTCTCCCAAAAATCCACAATGCCTTTTAAGCATCATTTGTTACTGTCAGGTAGAAATGTCAATAGAAATGTATCTACGGTACCTCAATCTGGTCCAGTTCTTCTCTGTAGGATTTAATCAGATTCTTTATCTGTTCTTCCATTCTCTCAATCATGAGGTCGATGTCTTCTGCTTGTTTCTTCAAGTCTTTAACGTAGCGATCATCACTTGCTTTCAGTTCCTGTTGGCAGAGCATGGCTTGTTTTGAAATAGGTTAAGTCTCAAATAAACGTATTTGTACAGTACCTCTGTGTCATAACTGGGAAACAGCTAGAAATTGAGTGTAAAGAAACCACAATCTCTCCTCTAAGAACAAAATCTAAATAAATGAAAGAAAACCTTTTGTTGATTTCCATACACATAAAATAGTAAACAGTACTACAAGAAAGTTTAAGGTTCACACTCAAAGATGGAATTTTTAGGAAGAATAGTCATAATTATGTACTCATTATTTTTGCTGGGTCTCACGTGGTTTGTAACTTTAGAAAAAAACATTTTTAATATTATGTCCTTATGTCCCCCATGACGCTGCGTGGGATAAAGTGGTTAGAAAAAGGATGGATCCCCATCATCCAGGATTTCCTTACCTGCTGTAGGTCAGTAATGAGCTTGTTCTTCTCCTCAATAAGAAGAGCGCATTGCTGTTGCTGCATGTTGAGTGCTTCCCTCAAGTCCTGAGGGATCTCCTTCATTCTGGCTGATGTCCACTTCTTTGTGATTTCCTCAAACTTCTCCAAACTGGTCTTGGCTTCACTTTCCAGCTTCTCTGTTCTTTCATAGGGCAGAATGGGTTAGATACAGTATGTGACATAGTAGTAAATAACTTCAGAACAATCTAGTATACTGTTGAGAGGGAATAGTTTGTGTATACTTCAGATAGCAATTCTGAAGGTCTTTCACATCATAATGGAGAATCTTCTGACATTTTGTCAATTACATTTACAAAAATAAATGATTACAGGTAATAAATGAGTGACTAGGAATAATTCATGAACCATTGTAAAGATATTTTAAAGCTTACTGAACAGTCTTTCTACAACACAATCTAATCAAACAAAAGTCATCAAATTGTTTGAGAATCCTCTATTCTCAAACTCATGAATCCCCTAAAGTTTACAGTATTTCTACTGTAATAATAGATGTAGCCTAACATTTTCCAGATATTGTATTTGAAGATTTGTCTCTCAGAATATGAAGCTATTTGAGTAAAGAGTCATGTAAAGAAAGATTAAAAAAAGCCATTTGTCTGAGACCTTTAAAGGTACTGTAATTTCCTGCTGAATGGCTGTGTTTGTGAAGGAGGGACTCAGCTATGTTCCTCATGTACCTCTGCCTCCTTGCCTCCTCCTCTTCAGTCCTCCTCTGAGACTCTTTCCAGTCTCCTGCTACCTGAATATTGGTGACCAGCTCTGTCCCATCAGCCTGCAGTTTAATCATTCTCTGTGAGAAATAAAATACAATGGCTCAGTCAAAGACACCTGTGCTCTACATGGCCTAAAGCTGTAGTAAAAAATCTATTTGTATAAAGAAACCATACGACACGAAAACAAAGTGTGAGTATCAGAATCAGCTAAATGAGATAAGGCACTGTCGATAATACAAATAATAACAGCTTTCAACACAATTCTCTACTATATTTCATTACAACATGTATTTACACATCTTGTGAAGCCTAAAATTTGGCATGGATCAAATTGAGGAAATCGGGTCTTTCAGACTAGATAATGATCTATTATCTATTTAAAAAAACTAGGGATGACAACCTTAGTGCTGCTGATAAACATATTTTGGATCAAGTCTTGAGGAATAAAAATCATATTACAGTTGGAATAAATTCTGTAAGAGACTTTTAATATGTACGATACTATTTGACATCCATAAGTACCACCAACCTTACAGCTCTGCTCCACCTGCTTCTGGCTTTTTCTCATTTCTTCCTTATCTTTCTTTTCATGGCTGCTGTCTCCTAGAGCTTCTCTGAGTATTTTGACATGAATGTAAAACAGTTCAGCATGCAAGAAAAACAGTATGAGTTCATTACGAGGGTTACAAAACCCAGAGCATTCAAAGCCATTTAGAGCACCCAGAGTTCAGAGCCAATCGCTTAAACACAGAATGCAAGGCGCGACTACACCCTGGACAGACAGATAATTACCCTAACCAGCATGTCACCCGAGAACTCTCACATTGCCTTGGGGAGATCATGCAGGCTCCGCACAGAAGGTGCCCCTGTCTCAAATCAAGTGCTCTTAGCCAGCAGCGTCACGCTTCTGTGCCGCCATAAACAACATACAAAACTTTCTAAGCCTTAGTTTAGTCGTCTATTATCTGCGAGACATAACAAAAGTTAATTTAAGCATTTGTCTAACTCGGGAACTGAATCGAGACATGTTTCGCTAAATCGTCACAACTACACGCGGTGCTTAGGTATGAATGCGTTTTACTATTTCATTATTGTCTCCATGATTCAGTTTTAACAAACAAACATAGCGAGTTCAAGATATAGGCATTAACACATGAGTTGTTTCTGGCTGTTGGATACCGTTTCTTCGCCTCAATCCTAGCTGCTATCCGCAGGCGGCGAGCGGCTATTCGCTCCTCCGGGTTTTCGGACTGCACCGATGGTCCACTTTCCTCTCGCTCTTCCCCTCCATTCTCGGCCTGATTCATTTTTCAAAAAGTGCAAACTAACGTGTAAGTAAATGTCCACTGATGTCTTTTAATCAATGCTACTATCTGCCAGGCGTCATCCTACAGTATGCATCACCGACACATCAAGGAAGCTTTGTTGTTTTCTTTGTTGCTAGGATACTGCTGCTGTTACGTCATCTTCAGTAGAGTTTAATGCAATCTCTGTGGGGCTGCTTTAGCAAATACTTTTTTCCTGTTTTATTTCTTTATTTTTATGTATTTATATACAGCGTACTGACAATCTAATTCATATATATATACATCGTTGTAAAAACGTCTTAAGTTTATTATCAGAACTTTCGTGCAGCAGCTGCTATGACAGGTAAAGTCATTATGCTGATTAACATTTGAGTTTGATCAACGGGTCTATTGTACTGTAAACGTCAGGGGCTGTTTGTGTAGAAACGACACACTGCACATCCCTGCCACATACTTTTAACCATGCTGACTTGTGAGATTCTTTCCAACTTTCCAGTTGTAGAGCCTGGACAAGCATGTCTGTTCACCTGTCAGTGGTCTGCATGCAGAGTTAACAAGTAAATTGAATTTGTCGAGGCCACTGATGTCCCATCCTAATCACAAAATTATTTAGCTGGGCTCAGGTTTGACAGGTAGGGCATCTATGGTTTAACTGTCATTCTCTCATTTCCCAAGAAAGCTGTTGTTACATGAGCACCTGTCAGTGCCTGCACTGTCAGGCTGAAAGTGAATCACGTCTGGATGAGCCTGCAGGAATATTATGACAAATTTTGTATCGCCTAGCTATTACGGAATAAGTCATAACAGCAAGAGCAGCAAGCAATGTCCCAGAGTTTTGACATTAATAACAGAGTGACTTTAATCTGATGCGGAGATCAGTAGCTTCTAGCCCCAGACCTTAAGACATGTATGATGATCTTAGCAAGGTGTGGTTACTCACGGTCTCCTAGACTGGGGCTTATCATTGACGGACTGGCTTTGAACTGGTTGTGAATACACTACAATAGTGCATCCAAAACAATGATGACACATCGTGCTGTTATCTTGAGAAAGTAAGACTATGGGTTAATTTTTGTATTTTTCTTTCATGATTTTCACCAGAGTGCGGCACGGTGGCACAGTGGTTAGCATCGCTGGCTCACAGCACGGGAGACTGGTTCTGGACCTGGGGTGCTATCTGCTATTTCTCTGTGTTTGCATTTCTGTTTCTTAAGAACTTTATTTTCTTTTCACAAATACAGAATAACACAAAAGGAAAAACTGTACAGTATTATGCAGTATATACCTAAAACAGTATACTGTATATGCACACATCTAGAGAAAATTACAAAGCCAACAGAAATACAATTGCTGAGGTGCATTATCTCACGTCACTTTGAATCAATTCCATACACATTTGCTGATGTTTTTTCCATGAAAAATGCTATTTTTCCTTACATGATTATCAGTATCACAGGGTTATGAGACATGATCCTACAATCCACAGATTTTCTGCTTCCTCCTTCCCTACACTCCATAGATCTCTGAGATAATAGTTGTCTTTAATAATGACCAGGCTACCTGCTCCCTTAACTGGAACCTCAATGCCTTTGAACACCCCCATGTTCCTCACCCTTCAAGAGGACATCCTTTCCACTGTTCACTATAGCCCAAATCCTGTCAAACATGTCAGAGGGTAGCGTTTGACATAATAGTGCATATTATGAAGGCAGGGGTCAGGGAAAAGTGAAGCGAGAGGGCCTGTAACCAGTCCTCAAACTGGGCCCAAAAAGTCTTAGCAAAATGGCAGGACCACAGGGGATGGGTCACAGTCTCATCCTCACTGCAGCCCATTCTAATACATCGAGGGCTGGGAGTGAGACACCTGTGGTACAAGAAGGCTCATGCCCGTAAACACTTGTGAAGAAACTCCAGACTAAGTCTCTGTGAACGTTGCACAAAATCCTAGAGGCTGTGTGTTTCCTCATCTTTCTTGTTTGGGCTTCTGTTAAAATGCTCACAGGGGTCAGCAGATTGTTATGAGGTGCGACAAGATCTTCAAGTTTTTTCTACATTGAACATGGCCAGTTGGATGGATTTTTTAATCTTTTAACTCTCCCATTAAGTGCAGGGCATGTGTCAGAAAATGGGGCATCCAGCTTGGGTCCGATACCCCCCACTTCAATACCTACCCAAAGCCTAGCAAAAAACATCAGGTATGTGGTTGAGGTCCTGTTGCGTGGGTTTCCTTCTGGTGCTCTGATTTCCTCCCAAAGAGAAAAATATACTGGGAGGTTAATTGGTTTCCAGGAAAATTCACAGACTCTTCATGATAGAGTCTGTGAACACTGACTCTATCATGAAGAAGGCTCAGCAGCGCCTTTATTTCTTGAGGTGCCTCAAGCGATGGGGGATGCCAATACATGTGTTGGTGAACTTCTACCGCTGCACTATCGAGAGCATCCTCACCAACGGGATCACCGTGTGGTATGGCAACACCTCTTCGCGAGAAAAAAAGGCACTGCAGAGAACTGTCAATATGGCCCAGAAGATCATCGGCTGCGGTCTCACCGAGATTAAACAGCTCTATGAGGACCGCTGCCGTGGTAGAATTCTGGCCATCACAGAGGACAGTCACCACCCCGGGCATGAGCTCTTCACCCCACTGCCCTCAGGCAAGAGATATAAGAGCATATGGTCACTTACCACTAGATTCTTCAATAGCTTCTATCCACAAGCAGTGAGACTGGCGAACACATTTAGCCATCCCCCTCGGACCACACCTACACCATCACCATCTACCTCATTGTAATTTATTTATTGTACGTCTCCAGTCATTGTTTACACGTCTGTATTGTTTACATTCAAACTGTCTGCATGTTTACTTGCACATTGTCTATTGTTTGTTTGTACATTGTCTTGATGCACTGTTTGCACTTTGTTTTGTTTTTTACACTTGTTTTACAAACGAGAGACTTTCTGTAAGTAAGAATTCCATTGTACCAGTACCGGTTACATATGGCAATAAAGTTCAAGTTCAAGTTCAAATTAGCCCTGGTGTGAGTGTGTTTGTGTCTGTGTGTACACTGCTGGACTGGCTTCCCATCCAGGGTGTATTGCACCTTGCGCCTGTTGCTTGCTTGCCAGGATAGGCTCCAGCTCCTTCACGTGTATTGGAGAAAGAGGTTAAGAAAGGGATAGCTTTTCACCAAATGTTAAAACAATACCCTAAACATGTAGACTTCATTACTCCTCAAGCATGCAGAGTGATACGTTTTTTTGATGTGTTTGTAGAGAATATATGTACGTTTCACATACATCATCATCAAGCCACTGCTAAATGAAGACCACACTCAACACGGGTATCTATTTACCTACAGGGTCCAGGGAGGCAGCCTTGATAAATAGGATACAGGTCTGTACAGAAAGAATGTTAGTAGCAGTAGCTACTGTGAAATGCATATCATCAGTGTCCAGCAGATGGCGATCAATACAACAGAGTAAAGTCACACATAAAAAGAAGCAAGACTTCTAATTTTGACAAACATTGCTGCAGATGTCCACAATATATATGTATTTAAACTAGGAATACATTTTTAACATCCTTCAATGTGCCGGAAAATTGTATTTTTTCTAATATTTTAATTTTTTCTCCTTTCCTTATAATGACTTTGAGCTGCCAACATTCGCCTCATAATCATCTCAGATTATGCTCTTTAAAGACTACACAAAATTTGTAAACATAAGAACATAAAAAAGGCTACAAACGTTCACCCATCTAGAATGTTGTGTAGTTGGGCTTTAATTGGTCCAAGGATCTCATCCAGCCATTTCTTGAAAAACACACTTTGGTAACAGCTTCAATCACGTGACATATTCCTACAACTGCTCTGTTAAACACGTGCCCCCTTTTCTCAGTTTTTAATGCAATAAGTGTCCAAAGACGTATGCTTTCATAACTCAGTCTCAACTGTCTCAGTTTTAACAAGAACTCTTACCTCATGACATATAGAAGTTTCCCACCCTTTCAATTATGTATTTTATTGAGTAATTACATAAGAAACCTGAAGCACTGACAAATATAGAACTGGTAATGTTCAAACAAAATGCAATGTTACACAATACAGAATTTCTTTATTATTATTTATCTTTATTAAGCTTTAAATGTTATGTCCTTAAAATAGTCGCAGTAATTACAAATATTAAGACCTGCTACAGACTCCAGATACACTTACAACTCCAGTTATAAAGGTGTTCACCAGAATTTGGAGAACGACAAATTCTTCCCTCAATTACGATATACTCTGTTAATGAAATAAATGCAAGAGCCCCCATCCAAAACCAACTAACTTAAACCTGCAATTACAAATGTGTGGCTAAAGACATATTGAAGATTACACCTGGTTGAGCATGGGATGTAGACAGATACTATACTGCACTGAACAGTGCTGTCTGAAATGTACTCAAACAAGAATAAAACGTGAACCACGCAGGAAGGGCTCACCAGCACAGCTCTTTTTCTGCACCATCACATACTCTGTAACAGTTATTAAATCGCACCAAAATGTTCATTTTAAAAGTAAAAGTTAGTTTGATGGTAAAAATATATAAAAGTCTTCATTTGATTCAAGATATACAATGCAGTAGATTCTGCTTTCTCTATTTGGATTTTTCTGAAGTCATTTCTTTAAGCACTGTAACCATTGACAGTTACTATCACATCTATTGTATGTTAATAACATACATCTGTTCTTAGGTTTTCATGATACCATTAAGATAATGTCTTAGTTTGACTTAACCCAACTTGTAATCATTAATACATAAATAGTTCCTTTAAACACCAAAATAATGAAACCTGGGACTACAAGTATTATTTACTTAAAAAAAAAGCTCTGCTTCATCACATGTATAAGACAAAATGTAGTTTATTGATCCATCTTTTATCCTTACCTCCAAGACCCTTCATCCCAAAAGAAAACCATCATTTACTGAATCCTTGTCTAGATCTTTCCTTGATGCTTCACTAAAGAGTTTTTATCCTATGTATCTAATTTAAATTAACACGAGAGTTTTGCATTTAAAACACTGACAGACCACATAAAAAGCCCAATAAGTACCAGTCATTTTCTTCTTAACGCATACATAATGTGGTACAAAATAGTCACATTCGTTTGAGGAAGGACAATAGTGTCAAATTTACAAGTGCCTCAGTACAGAAATCACTTTTGTCCGATAAAAACAAAAATACAACTCCATTAAACATCTCATACGTATCAACAAAGCAGCAGTAAGAATATAGCCCTGAATACATTTTTAGAATTGTAACTTAAACTTTCAGCTACATTAAATGCAGTGGTTTCATACATGTCCCAAGAATTGCACAGCAGAAATCTACAAGTATACTTTAATACAAATCCAAATTGCATTATTATAAGTGGTAGACTTGATTTCCAGGGATAAAACACCATTAAGCCATTTAAAGTATTTTAAAAATACACTTGAAAACCTCAAATGAACAGTCTTTTTCAGTACAAAACCACAGGTTCTGTGCAGACTGTCCCCCTGCGGCTGCAAAACTTACAGTATTGCAATTACTCCTGCACAGTAACCCTGAGGTAGAGCTGCTGAAATAGATATCCTATAGCTAAGAAGCATATCTACAGGGAGTTCATTTTCTTTAAGACGAAGGAAAAGGTATTGCAATCACTGTTAAATATACTTTAAAATGTTGTGTCATAGCATCTAAACAAACCTTAAGTAATGCCCTTCTATTGGACTTTTAAAGAAATATAACATCCTGTAACAGTTGGTATTTGAAAGAGTGATGTAATTCAATGAGCCAGAGTGCTTTTTTATGTATGCAATATTTTTATAACTCTAAAAAGAAAAATCTTAATATATTACTCCCCAGTAGTAAACAGAACAAGCAAATGAAACAAAGGGAATGTAAGTTTGTACAGTGACATGCATCTGGAACATTTACTTGGTAAGATTCCTACTGATCGTTTGCTCTTGAAAATTTAAGTTTTGCAAAGTATACATCACAGTTGTATAGAAAGTAAGATTTATTGTTTGAGTGGTTAAAAAATTACAATCTGTGTGAGCAAAAATAAATACGAATTCTTAAACAGAAATCACAAAATATGCCAGTTTAAAGCACTTGTCTGAAAAAAATTCACATACTCTAGGACTAGAGTGTGCTGTGTGAAAACACAGCAGGTTTTGATTATACAATCAGTTTTTAATTTGCTCCACCCCCAGAACTGGTAAAACATTCCATAAAAATTATGATCCTTCATTATGCTTACATGATTTTGGCAGTTTAGTGTAAATTACACATTATTTTGTTTCTTCAAGACAGCTTTGACATCTCCAGCTATACAATAACTGGTGTAGCTCACCTGTGCACTGCTGATTTGAAGTATACCAACAAGGCACAGTCTTTCCACAAACAGGGAGATCAGCATTATCATCTACCCTCTCTTTTACTGTATTGAAGCATAGCTAGTTCCATTCTGAAGTTCAAGTCACAGATATATTTTATAACCAGAAATACATCACATTTCAGTCTTATATTACAGTACACAACCGTAGAAAATTTACTAGCTTTTCAAAAATGTTTTAACTTGCTCATCATTACAATACACTGCCAAATAAGAAAAAAGCATTAACAATCACCATAATCATCAGCCCACCAGTATTTCAAGGTTTTTATTTACCATTATTTTTATACATTTAATAATTTATCAGAACTGCCATGAATTAGTGAATAACTCACTACAGTAACACCAAGGTTTCCAGTGTTTTGTAAAATGCTCATTTTATAAGTTGCTTTTCAATAAATAAGCCAAGCACAGACTACACTTATAGGTTCTGCACGTACAGAGCTAATCATCTTCTGTAAACAGTTTCATTAGTTAACCAGCTGCTGTATTTTACTACTAGAAGAAAAGCAGTTCTGAATTATGACAACACTGATGCAGGTGCTTATAAACAGGAAGTCTTCCTGAATGTGTACAAACTGTTGGCAAGTTTGCCCAACCATTCATTTCTCATCACATTAGTTTGAAATAAAAAATAAAAATTTAAAACATTATTCCAATTTCTACTTTAAGAGAAATTACCAACATAAAAATTCATATTTACAAATATTCATGAAACCAAATGGATCAAAGAGGAACAATCTGTAGCAACAAATACATTCCTATAATTTGCTACCACCAACACTCCCCAACACACACAACACACCTCAAAACAAATGTAAAAACAAACAAAAAAACTAACAAACTAGTGGTTCGATATCCTTGCTTAAATAAAACTACAATGCTTGTTTTTTCCAAGTGTACCCTGTCCAAAAACAGGATTTTAGGCACACTCTTCATTTAAGCACATGTAACTAAACAAACTACCGATATGCGAGGTACAAATAAATCCTGAAAATCGGCATGCTGTCACCATACCACCGGCAAACTGGGAACTTCAATATTCTAAGATGTTAGGTCTTCATTAAAAAATGCATGTACAAATGTCAAGAAAGTAGTCACAAGGTTAAGCTTGCCTCTTGATTATAACCACAATTCACAGGGTTCAGTTTAGCAGTAAGCTCACAGATAAGTGATTATGATCAATCAATTCTAAACTGATTTACTTTATTTTAAAAGGAGGCATTTATATATTTTAGGATCTACATGCCAATGAGCTCATCAGCTTTTTGTACAATACCACCATTACAACTTCGACAAAATCGCAGGATCTGCTGTGACAATACAGAATGCCAAGCTTTCTCCAATTGCATTAGGAAATTTTCAAACGTTTACAGTAAAACTAAAATCAAACAATATTCCAAAGAAACAGATGGGCTCTTCACATACTTATTCAAAAGTGTAACAGACAGGTGACTCAATATCCTCAACCTATGCTGTCTCCAGTAATAAATACGTGTGACTATACTGTGCAGATCGTCAGTTTTCAAAGGACTATGCGATTTGTGCTTGCAATGAATTTCTAAGTCTGAGTGGACATTGTATTAGTACTTGTTTTTCTAAGGTCAACCAAGTAAAGTTTGGTGCAAGAAACAAAACCAAAACAGCGTTAAACAGAGCAAAGTGGTCTTTGTCTCTGTACACATTTGACAGAAGAATTAACAAAATAGTCAGAGCTCCATTTGATTGATTTTGCAATTTCTTCAAAGAATTTCATGCAAAAGTGAGAGGAACATTTTTTTATAGAATCTAAAAACCTCTGTCCGAAGCATCTGAATTTGGAAACTGAATACCAGATAACATAAAAGGCAATGAATATTGTATTTTCAAAGGCAACACACTGTACATTCTTAAGTCTGAAATGTGTTTTTTCCTCAAGCTTTAAGTAATGGATTTTAAGCAGTGCGTTACTGGTGTGTACACCAAACCTATTCTCAGTAGAACCATATTTCCTTAGGAAACAAGCAGAAATCGATTAAATACATTATGAAGTTAGCTGGTATTCCCAACCTAATGTATTTA